AGAAATATGGTATGAGCATCTCGTATGGTAGATGTATCATTATTTTTCATGGGCCATTGCATACTCATATTCTCCTCGCAGCGCCTCATGTCAAACTCGTAAACACTAAAGCCCCATGCTGTTTCAACTTCGTCGCATATCTGCAGTGCCACGGGAACGCTTTCGCAAACATTACAGTCCACAGCTGAACATAGGCCTCCCCCATAGATGTTCTCTAAGTGGAGTGGAGGAGTGGGGGGGGGGTACTACTATTTGCTATATAATTGCCACGCTTGGCAAACGGGTTGGTAATCGCAGTTTTTATTTTTTATTTTTAGTCGTTATTAGGAAGACGCTGTTAACAATCTGATTTGTTTCCGCATGTCACCTCATACGACACTCCCGGGATTATACGGCGTAGTGGATATTCTTACACCACTACTACCATGATAGATAACGTAATGGTATACAGTAATGCAGTTAAATGTAAAGTCAATAGTATTTTGTTTTTATAACTGGCTTTACGGCTCTGGGTTCTAGCCCTTTTGAGCCTGAAGTTACAATGTATAATTATCCTTCATAGTACACAGCTTGGTATCTCAATGTACCTACGCAGACAAACACCTTATCTTGAGAATCACATCACCATCGCAGCACTTGTTTCACCGTTTCCACTAATAGTTCACATGCGTATACACTTAATACACAAAATCGCACCACTTTTACATATCAAAGTCCACTTCAAACCATTATTTAAACAATAATACAGGAGCAGCAAACCGCCGCCGGTCAAGTTCCCGCCAAAACTCCTCAAAATACAGTACTCTTACTTACAATATCGACACAGTTTAAGGTATCTTATGCTTTACACTGTAAATTGTGTGTTAACATTGATGAAGACATGAAATATTTAAAATTATTGCAAAAGAAATTTGTACATATATTAAGGCTCCTATTTAATATAGTATATGTCAGAAACTAGATATATTATGATGACTAGATATAATTCGATACATATGTACAAGCTGTAGATTTTGTTCTAATAAAATAAAAATATCACTCTCTCAGAAATAGAATACTTTTAAAAAAAACATGCGCGAGTTTCGTGGAACACTCGGTTGGAACGAAGTTCCTTTCGTAGTATATTATTAGTGATAAACGTATATTATTGATTAACATATACAATAATTTAAAATAAAAAATTTTGTACAGCCGACTTCCATAGAAGTTATTAAGAATAACTCAAAAACTATTGGGCTGACCTTGTTTAAATTCATACGAGACCACACGAGAATTACCAGCTTTCAAATAAAAAAAGAATCATCGAAATCGGTTCACCCGCTAAAAACTTATGAGGTAACACACATACAAAAAACATACAGTCGAATTGAGTACCGTCTCCTTTTTGGAAGTCGGCAGAAAGTAATTTAATTACTAGTGTCTATTAAAATGAAGCGTCATTAAGCATAAAATATTAGTTCTTTCATGGTGGGCAGCAGCGTCTTTCTAATAAAAACTAAGAAATAAAAAAATGCGGTTGCCAACCTGCTTATAAAGCGTGCCAAGTATGGCAAATATGAGCCAATGTAGGAGGACTATTTTCAGTTGTGGACTTTTGAGTACTTGTAACGAGAGGAGGCTTGTGCCCAACAGTAAGACATATTATATAGATTTTTTTTATTTTTTTTCTATATGATAGGGTGACAAAAGAGCACACAGTCCATCTGATGGTAAGTGGTTGCTGTGACCCATAGACACACCCGTGATGACTAAGATGGAATGCCTCTTTTCCAGTAAAAAGTGTCTCCGGTTCTCTACACTCATCATACAAAACACAGCAGTCTCAAGCTGCCGTTTTACGCTGGTATTCTGTGAGAGAGTGGTCCTTCCCCGGTCGAGCCGACCCACTCCTGCAACAACTATACTACTAATATAGCTACAGTATGGCTCTACCACGTATAAAATGTTTCTGTTACTGTTTCTTTCTTTCCTTCTTGGTCCTCATAATCTTCTATATTTCGTAATTTGATGATAATTGAACTTATACGGCAGTTAATAAAGAAGTTAATATGGAATATTCATTATCTATATACCTCTGTTAGTTTTGCTAAATGGTTCTTTGCTATGGTTCAATACACATGCAGTATTTTGCAATTTATACCTTTATACAGTGAAAAAATCAAGTCTTTGTTGAATTAATTTAATTCAACTACTCCCGACACGAGTACGGACAGCGCCGTAAGTTAATTATTTCCAGTCCGAGTAAATATTAAATCGAATTATCGATTCTGGTACACAATGACTTAGAAGGTGTATTATATCTAACAAAATTGGAAATTAGATATCGACTTCACGATTACTAATTAAGAAAGTTTGATTAGTTACCACATTAACTTATACTACAACCTCTATATATCTATCCCTTTCCTTCAAAGCATTCGTTAACGAGATAGTTCTGTGGCATTTTCAAGTTTTATTTAAACTTTTTTTACAAGTTTTAAAAAACTGTAACTTCGGTGTTATAAAAAATAATTATTGAATATTTGGTGACATCCGATGGAGCTGAAATATGATATCCTGTAGCTGATCTGATGATGAAATTGGATGCTGTTTCTATCAACGCCAGCAAATACTTGTTTATAAATAGTTTTAATTAAGTGCATTTGATTGTTTGTTCACTTCTGGTTATTCCGAAGTTTTTTTAAGCAATATGATTTTTTTTGGCGCGAATGTTATTAGTTTTATTAATTAAATTTTTATAGTTAACTAGCTGGCCATGCAGACGTTGTTCTGCCCTTTTCGACGACCCTTCATATAAAAAATCCTGTCACTTATCAGGATAAAAAGTATCCTATCTCTGAAATTGGACCAAACTGCACAGAGTGTGCAAAATTTCATTGAAATCAGTTCAGTAGTTTAGGAGTTCATCGCGGACAAACAATGTGACACGTAATTTTTATATACTCGTATAAAGATTATAATGTAAAGGTCATGCAAATACCTGTGACAGTGGTAGAGCCACGCGGCAACTTTTGCTGTCGCACGGATGGGCCGGCTCGAACCGGGGTGGTGTGGTACCACACAGAATACCAGCGTGAAGTAGAGGTTTACTTCTGCGTTTCGCTTGGTGAGTGCAGGTGGCCAGAGGCCCTTTTTACTGGAAATGAGGCATTTCATCTTAGTCCTCACGGGTGACATCGCATCTGCATTTTGATTTGTAAGCGAGAAGATGTGAAGATCTGGAGAAGAAGTATTTTAAAGTATCATTATATTTTTACCCGACTGTCCCAGAAGTAGGGTAGTATTTATCCTCCTTCTGGGGCAGTATGCCATATGTCTAAGTGTATTTATCTATTTTTACGTGGTAGAGCCGTACTGCAGCTATTAGTAGAATAGTTGCAGCACGAATGGATCGGCTCGACCGGGGTTAGGACCACGCCCTCACAGAATACCAGGGTAAAATAGCAGCTTAATACTGCTGTGTTTCTTATGGTGAGTGTAGAGAACCGGCGACCCTTTTACTGAAAAAGAGGCATTCCATTTTAGTCCTCACGGATGATAACGCATCTGCATTTTGATTCGTAATCGAAGATAGATGTAGATAGATGTCTATGGGCCGTAGCAACCACTTACCATCAGGTGGACTGTGTGCTCGTTTGTCACCCTTATCCTATAAATACAAAAAAAAATAGTTAATATAAGTGCTATGGAAGGGTGGAGTCTCCTAACACAGGCTTTTGTAGTGAAAACTTCTTTAGCCGCGTTTAGCGATTTTTGGTAAGGGTTTACAATTATAATTTTTTGGTAGGGGAAAAACTTATGTGTTCGCGTTACCGATGACCTCGACATACTCGTGACGTATTGCGCTTGCAATAGGTCGCGAGCATATCAACTACGTGCTAGCCGTCAGTCACATTGAGTTTTCAATTATGTCGGCAGTGCTTATGACGGCCTCTGTTTTTTTTGGTTTTTTTATTAAAAGTACACCTCATCTTATAATGATTATTAGTATGAGTATGAATATTTACTGAAGAACCTATTTTTATTTTTACCATCGATCACTAACAAAAAACTAGATATACAATCCCAAACAAAAGTTCTCTTTATTTTATTATTGTTCCGACGAAAAATCTGAATTGATACCACACAAATTCTAACTGAGGCGAAATCGCTTTTGCACGACCATAAACTTTTTAACCGAGGTCGAAACACGATAATGTTATATTATTAACGACGCGTATACTTTTATGTAATTGTATAATTTTTTGTATATTCACCGATTATTCGATAACGGTTAAGCCGTTTACAATTATAATTTTAATTAAATAGGTCGTACTTCAGAAGTGGTATTATAACTTAAAAAAAAATCGTCTTCAAGAGTCGAAAAATATATTTCTTTAAAGAAATGGGGGCAAACGAGCTCACCCGATGGTAAGCGTCGACCACCGCCCATGAACACCCTGTATGCACCAATATGATTGGGTGCGTACAGCGTGTTCTTATTTTTAGATGTGATATGATTTTAGATGCATATGTGTGCGTAAATAAATAACTGTTGACAACAGTCTGTTGCCATCGTTACAACGTACGCAGTTCTACGTCCATCTTAATATGTTGGTCTGTCTTTTTTTCTTTGTTGTGGTAGAGCCATGCTGCAGCTATATAGTTGTAGCTCGAATGGGTCGGCTCGAAGGATCACGCTCTCACAGAATACCAGCGCAAAATGCTATTATGTTTCATATGGTGAGTGTAGAGAACCGGAGACCCTTTCTACTGGAAACGAGGCATTCCATCTTAGTCCTCACGGGTGACAACGCATCTGCATTCTTGTTCATAATTGAAGATATTTTAAATGTCTATGGGCCGCAGCATCCATTTACCATCACGTGCATTGTGTGCCCGTTTGTCACCCTTATTCTATAAAAAAAAAACACTTTTTGCGTATCTATGTTGCAATTAAATTTTCCGTATCTCAGTTCCATGAAGTTGAATGCAATATAAAATTTATTTGTTCTTTCCAGGGTCGTCATTTACCGAAGACAGCAGCAATGAAGAGCTGGCGTCTCTGAGGACTCTGCTGCATTTTCCCGAAGAAGTCGCCCTTAGACTCACTGACACTGAATACAAGATATTTTACCAGGTCAGTTTAGTACTGTTATCTTAGTTTCCTCATCATCATAAGCCCGTTATACGACAGTAAACTATATGTTAATAAATGAATTCGTTTCCTCAACGTCATTAGTCTGTTAAAGAAAAGTAAACTATATGTTAACAAATTAACTTACCGTTCAGGTCATGCTTAGCTGTCCTAAATGTGTCTGCCAATCATTAGGTTCCGGGTCCAGGCCAAAAACTCAGCTAATGAAATTTTCTGTCAAAACATTCTCAGTAGCAGTTGGCGATGTTTCAACTCCGTGTCTCAGAAAGCACGTGAAGCCGTTGATCCAGCCTTTGATCCCTCTACGGTCGTGTCGGATTGCCGTGCTGTCAGATATGTTCTACGCAAATGGCTAGTCTCAGTTATGGCTGGTCACCGTGACCAAAATTCTGTATGTAAATAGTAATATGTACTATATAATAGAACAGACAGATATGTGTACAGATACGAGTAACTTGTTAGACGAGTGTTAACCGTGGTAGAGACATGCTGCAGCTATATTAGTAGCATAGTTGTAGCACGAATGGGTCGGCTCGACCGGGGAAGAACCACACTCTCACAGAATACCAGCGTGACATAGCAGCTTAATACTGCTGTGTTTCGTATGGTGAATGCTACTTACCATCAGGTGGACTGTGAGCTCGTTTTTCATCCTATCCCATAAAAATAAACTTTTTTATGGCAAAAAGTAAGTAAGTTTGGACCCGTGGACTCTAAAGCGTGTTGCAAACAACCAAGTTTCGACGTCTCTTCTATTACGTAGAACATTATAACATGTTACTTCAATGAGTTTGGAGGACATTATTATTTACTGTGTCTCATGAACACCTGCAGATTTTTCCAAACAACAAAGGCTACAGATGCATTGTTTTCTCTAAGAACTAGAATGGATTCTTATACGAGTAATCGCTTTACTCTAACTAACGTTCAGGGGGTAAAACATCTCAGTCTCTCTTGTTTCTATGCGTGCTTTACAGCACCCGAAGAATACACACACACACACACACACATATCTATATAATTTATTCAATATCTTGTATTCTTATAAATACAAGAAATCATTACCAAATCATAATACTTTAATCAAAATTATTGAAATTAAGATAAAGCTATCTTTATATTTTCTTATGAAATGTGTTATTTATATTGATACCTTTCTTTTCTTTTGATTTACACCGCCAATACGTGGTAAGAAATGACACCGTGTCATAAGAGGCGACAGAGGGAAGTGAAAGTAGGTGATTGGCATTTTCCTGATAACAACTTAAAGTAATAAATAGCTGCAGTTGCCACCCTGTCTGCCCAGCGTGGCAGCTATGGCAAATATCCCCCTATGAGGCAATCTATTGAGGAGGCATATGCTTAGCAGTGGACTTTAATAGGCTGTAATGGATGGATGTATAGAAGATAATCTACCAGGAGCACATGACCCACTGAGAGATGAAATTTTCAAATCAACAGTAACATTACAACTATAGCAAATATCCCCCCTATGAGTCAATCTATTGGGGAGGCATATGGCTTAGCAGTGGACTTTAATAGGCTGTAATGGATGGATGTATAGAAGATAATCTACCAGGAGCACACGACCCACTGAGAGGTGAAATTTTCAAATCAACAGTAACATAACTACTATGGCAAATATCCCCCCTATGAGGCAATCTATTGGGGAGGCATATGGCTTAGCAGTGGACTTTAATAGGCTGTAATGGATGGATGTATAGAAGATAATCTACCAGGAGCACATGACCCACTGAGAGGTGAAATTTTCAAATGAGACCTCTCAGTGGGTCTGACCGGCCAGCTAGTGTAATTATAAAAGTAAAGTGTTCTTTATTGCACATTGTAGTAACACAATAGAGGCGTTTTGTTCATGGTAATGGACGCAAGGTTGTTGTGTCGAGCCAATAATGGGAATCGAGCGAGCATTATCGCCTCACAATAAGGATTAATCTAGGATGGCTATGAACGATCTACATTGATACTAGACTGACGCAAGTTTTATATAGAAAAATAGCGGTCAAGTGCTATGTACAATATGTATCTAATATTATTCCAACTCCTTGAACACTTTTCCATTTACGCCATATTGGATTTTTCATAATAATTGGGGACAGGAATCTAGGAATTTTCTATCGCTTTATGTATCAAATTGTATTCTATTATATTACACTAGCCGTGTTAGCTAGAAACTGAAAAAGAAAACATCTGAGAATAGAAAACATATTTCGAAAACAAATGAAATCCGCCGACAGGCACTGAGGCAGCGCGGTGGACATAACTTTGCCCTAAAACCCTCTCAGAAATGAGAGGAGGCCTGTGCCCAGCAGTGGGACGTATATAGGCTGTAACTTTACTTCACATTTCACAATTACGCTAGGATACCTTAAATGTCTTTTTAAGGTTAAAGATATTAGGAGAAATATCAACTCATCGAACGTGAATGTCAGGAACAAAACAAATATATTTTTACTGCTCTTCTAAACGTCGTAAACTAAATAAAACAAAACATGAGAAGCTGCAAAATATTGTATTTCATTAGCAACGTTCGCTTCAACTTCGACGCCATACTTCGCATACAACTTCAGTCACAAAATGCGTTGTTTATTTTGTTGATGGAAAATATAAAGTAACATTTCTTTATAAGATTTCATTATGTGAAATATATTACGAAACATTTTCATTTAATAAAATGTGAATATTTAACAAGTTGTTTTTATAAAACTGACGTGATCGTGTAGTGGCGGTGTAAGAATATCCACTAACCCCATATCATCCCGTGGGTGTCGTAAAAGGTGACAGAGGAAAACAAATCAGGAGATGGGCAGCAGCATCTTCCTAATAACTACTAAAAAAAAAACATGCGTGAGTGTCGTGGAACACTCGGCCGGAACAAAGTTCCTTTCGTAGTATATTATTATTGAAAAACCTATTATATTATTGATTAACAAATACAAATAAATGAATTACTGGCGTCTATTAAAACAAAACGTCATTTTAAATAATATTTGTATTATGGCAAGATAAGAAAAAGTGCGAGGGAAATGGATATTATTCCATTTGGCTTCCATATAGACGCCAAGGCCGTCTATACTTCGTCAGAAGGGATCGAGACGGAAAAATCTTACACTTTTTCTTGCCCAGACCCCATCCGCCAAATTCGTACCGTCCGGTAAGGAACTTCGTTCCAATAAAAATAAACCCGCTTGCCACTATCTAACTATGGCAAATATCCCCCCTATAAGGCAATATATGGGAGAGACCTATATTTGGTAGGCTGTAATGTATGGATGTATAGAAGATAATCTACCAGGAGCACGTGGACGGTAACAATTGAACTTACCGTCCACGTGATTGTAACTGGCTTCTGCAATCCATGAATACCTTTCTTTTAACATGGGACATGCCTACGCATACCCGTCTCTCGGGGGCAAGGGTTGTTTATGTCGGATTCGTACCGACTAAAACTCCATGGTGTTCCACGTTCGCCGCATATTGGCAGGGCCACGGGAACGCTTTCGCACACATCCGTGGCCCCACCAGCGCCGGCCGCCCTATGGCAGCCCCTTCTCGGAAAAAACCTCTCCTCCCCATTCTCCTCCTCAGGCAAGGCGCACCAGGAGCACGACGCACGCCCCCTCCACGGCCTTCAACTCTACCTGCATAACGCCCACCCCCCCTCCCCGTGTCCGATACGAGGAGGCCATGGGGCCAGAAAATCGAACGTTCGGTAGTACCGGCTTTCCCGACCCCAGCGGCGGATCTGGTTGCTGGCTCCGCCGCCAGGAGGGTAGGGAGAACGGCGCCTCGCAATACCGACACTTCTCTCCCCCCGCGGCCCCACTATCACCGCATTAGCGGTGCGGCCCCGTCAAAGTCGCGGAGGAGAGGGCGAGTGGCGCATCGCCATACAAATACTTCTCTTCCTCCGCGACTCCACCTCGGCCGCAGCAGTAGGGGAAGGGAACACCTCTCTCGCTGCAGCTCACCGACACACATCCGAAGTGGGCGCGCCAAGCCCCCTCGGAGTGGCCACCTCGGGCCGGCCCTACACCACGTGCCACCCAAGGGGTTCCTCTTTGTTCACTGCGGATGACCAAGCCACAACACGTTCGGGGGGCAATCCATGGATACCTGCAGTCAAATTCAAACGAACATGGCGTTGTCACCTCTGAGAATTAAGATGGAATGCTTCACGGCGTGTAACTATACAGGCTCTCCTTAAAAATAAACCAAACTTAACAGTTATTATTTAAGTAAATAATAAGTTTGATACTTCTGTATGTGGTAGAGAATCACTACAGCTGTATTAAGGTTGCAAAAGGAATGTGTGCTTGACTGGAGAAGGACCACGCTCTCACACAATGTCAGCGTGGAATAGCAGCTTAATGCTGTATTTCGAATTAAGTGACGATCTTGCCTGGTAACGAGGCTTTCCATCTTTGTTTTCAGTATGCATCTTCAGTTTGATTCTTAATCGAGGATAGATTTAGATGTCTATGGGCGACAACATCCACTTACTATCAGGTGAACTGTGTGCTCGTTTGTCACTCATATTCTTTAATAAATAGATAGGAGATACTCTCAAGTTGCAACATAAGAAGTTTTACATTTATAACTAGATATAAATAAAATTTGTGACTGTTAAAGGACTATAAATTAGTGTCTGACTTTTATACGTGGTAGAGCCATGTTGCAGTTATATTAGTAACATATTTGTAGCACGAATGGGTCGGCTCGACCGGGGAAAGAACACGCTCTCACAGAATACCAGTATAAAATAGCAGTTTGTTGCTCCTGTGTTTTGTATGGTGAGTGTAGAGAACCTTTCTCTCTCTCTCTCTCTCTCTCTCTCTCTCTCTCTCTCTCTCTAGGATCTCCTCTTTTTACTGGAATATAAGCATTCCATATTATTCCTCACGGGTGACAACCCGTCTGCATTTGGATTCGCAAACGAGGATAGATGTAGATGTCTATAAGCC